TTCTCCAGGGCTAGACGGCAATGAGAGCGCAGCCAGAGCCAGCTATCTTCTCAGTCAACTTGTCGGATATGTAAGCCTCACAACGTTGCAAACAACCCTGTTACTGGTGAGTCGATCCTAGACATTGGCTTGCAGTAGTTCATGCAATGATCGGCAAACTAAATCTAGAGTCAAGCATGTGCAACGTCTCTTATGCGGTTATTGGCAAGAAGCCGATTCGCTACTACCAGGAGCTTGCCGTACTGTCGGTGCACTCGGTGGGCATCTTTATCAGCCCTCGAAGGCCCTTACAGTAGAGATCTCGCTGTGCGAAAGGAGGAAACGCCACATTAGAAACCTCTTCTGGGTTTGCTACATGTCGGATAAAGACTTGTCCCTACGGACAGGACAACTTCCACTTCTTACTGACATCTACTGTGATCTCACCGTCCCAGAAAATTACCTGAGCTCTTACACCTATCTGCGTGGTCTTAATGAGTATCTCCACCACCCAGATGCATCAAGTGATGAGGACCTCACACCACACTTCTCGGGAGACGCCCAATTGGGGTATCTTAAAGAGAAAGTATATCGGCTACTTTACTCGGTACAAGCCCTGAGGGACAAAGACAATCGACTCTTGATTTCAATCCGACAATTAGATGACGAGATTGAACGCTGGCGTCTGTCGGTCCCGGTGGACTTCCGGCCAGCTCTCTCAGTCTCGTCAAATACTCTTCTAATCACGCCTGAAACAAGACCGCCTCATGCACGACGATATTTTCACCTTCTTCTAGAGTATTGGTACCTGATGATCTACGTTCATACTACAGTCAGACGATATGATGCACATACGATAATCGGCGACGGGGGGCAAGATCTTCACCGGGTCATTCACTCGAGCTATGACTTATCAATGGAAGCCGGCAGATCGACGCTTCGATGTCTGCGAGTGTGTATGAATACCTTCTCTAATGAAGGCTTCTGGTCAGTCATCGTATTTCCTCCGGCTTCCTCAAACAGCGTTGAACCCATGCACGCAGTTAATATTCTTGTGTGGGTGGATGTCTAGCAACTAACGAAGTTCCTAGGCTTCTGATGTTTTACGCCACCAATGCAGCTATTGCTCTGTTTCTCAATATGATCATACACCCAGAAGATGCGGACGGCCAGCTCGATCTCGAGCTTCTAATTTCGGCCGCCAACGCAATCCGTATAGCAATCCCGCAGGCCTCAACACGTGAAGAAAGTATGCGCATTCAAAGAACGTCCGACTTCATCATGTGGCTCATGTGGCTCGGATCATGTGCCATCACCAAGTCGCAGGAAGAGGGATTACGACATGAGCTGTAAAATTCCAGCATACCCGTGACGGTTTTAGGAAAGACGCAGTTGGGAAGATGCCCAGCTATAAGAAGCGGCTTCCGCTGACAAAGCGGTGAACAAGTTCGTAAGGAGCGGCTTAGCAAGCCAAGAGGTTAGAGCTCCCCTGGCTCTCGTCTCAACAGGGGTGCCAATCCGAATAATTAAGCGTATTTATACTGCAGAACATACGTTCCCGAAAGCTTCGCTCTTACTGGCGGACGGGATGATGCTCAATGATACCCTAGATCAAATACGTGCAGGAGTTAATTAAGTTTAGTCGCGATGCAGTGTCATTCCACCCACTTTCCGGAACCCGAGTAATGCTGCCGGAGTCTCGCTTCTAAGCGGTATTCATGAGGTTACTGATCAATTCGGTAGCGAAGCTTCTATTAGAAACCCAGGAACCGAGCTATTCTGTATGGGTCAAAACAATCGTATTATACAAATAATTACTTTCATTTAGGGCAGGTGGTGTTCCCATGGCCTCGGCAGCCCGGCCCCACCGGGAAGGATGAACGATCGGCTGAGGGGTTCAGCGACTTAAGTGACTTAAGCTCGACCTCAAAGCAAGTACTTGAGATGCGTAGTCGCCAGTGCTCTCCTTTCTTCTTGTATCGACATCACATCAAATCAGCCTTTAATCTCGTTCTTCGGAGTTGCTAAGATGTTTCAAATATCCATCGGCCTCCTGCTTGGCCTAGTTGCGAGTCAGATCATCTCCGCTCAGGCGCAGTCTCTCCCGAAGCAACTCGCTGTAGTCCGTCGCCGCTCTGGTCTCACGCACAAAGAGTATTTGTACTACCATACACTAGTTCACGGGCAGAAGTCATGGAACGCACCTCGAGACGATTCCTTTCCCGCAGCCTACATCCAAAGCCATGTCTTTGACGGAGTCTTCGGTGCAAACAACAGCGTAGCGAACCAAGTCTACGTCGGCCGCGACGACATCGCCGAGCTATACAGTAGCTCCCCGACGTCCTTCTTGGGCCCACCCTCCACGAATTACACCGAGACGGTGATCGGTCCTGATGGAGCCAACTTCAACGACTTCCAAGTTGCCATGTCGATGATCGCGACGGAGACTTTCCTGACCAATATCACTGCGGGTGCCCCGAAAACTCCGGCGAAACCCGGCAACGAGCCTCCGGTTGCCTTCTTCTGGGCCATAGCTACGCAGAACGCTACATCGAACGAGACGTTTGCAAGGAACCTGGCGGATGCCCTGATCAAACCTTTACCCGCCGGAACGATTTACAACGCCAGTATCCACGTCCCTATTCCAGGCGCCGATGTCAGGCCTTACTTTGGTGGAGCGGACATGCCGATCATCAATACTGTCATCAAATTGTGGCTCAATGACAGTGGGTCAGCCATCACGCAGCTTCGGGCATCGCAAACAAAACTGGATAGCGCGGCACTCAACCTGGATGAGAATCTATCGTACATGCTCTTTTCCAAAGAGGTAACGATTTGGGACACCAAAGCCGGTATCGAGGTAAGTCGCTGCGGGCCATCGATACTCCGATATTTACCCCTGGGCCGCTTAGCTAACATCGAAACAGTTTGATATCCCGCGCCTCGAGGCTGTTTTGAAGGCCGAGAACTATTGATCACAGATCGTGAAGGGCAACAGACAGGGGTGGAGCCTCAACTGTTAGGCTATCAGTGAAGCCTTGTATTTATAAATACCCATTCAAATGGACTTTCGCTTTGTCCAAAATTGATCCCCGGACAGGTGGTGAGCGGCCGCCGCGATGTCGCATTCTGAAGTGTCGCATGGGGGCCCACGATGGTTGAAACCATTTTGACAGCTGGCTAAACCATCTGACCTTTTAAGGGTCTCTATTGTAACCTCTTAAAAAGCCCCGTTGCAAAACTGGAGCAGTTGACAAAAGATCAATTCCTTCTCAAAATCTTACCCATCTTTTCCCCAACCCGGCTAGTCCCTTGCAGGCTGCAGTCATCATCATCACTGCCAAGACGGTAGGCGCCCAGAGGCCAGGGCGCAGTCTTGACAAAACCCCACTAGAATTTACACCGCCCCTGTGAACAGTTCACGACTTCGGCCTCTCATACGTCATACAGTGTGGCGCAACTTGCAGTGTACCAAATTATGGGAAGTGCGCCGCTCGTATCCGTTGTCAAACAGTGAACTCGCGAAGATCATACCACGGGAACTCTGGCGTTGGTACAGCTCATAGAGCCAAGACGGGAATCCCAACCGTTCCGAACCACATATTTCAAGCTTATAATATCCCGACCACGAAGGACCCATCGCTGTTGAGGATCCCCATCTTGCATCGTCGGACATTATCTCCTAGCCTCAAGTTTTAAAACCTGTCAATTGTTCCAACAGTAAGAACAACAGCATAATCAACAACTACTCGACTTTTCAGCGACACATAAGCCTCTAGTATCGGGACGACCTTGCCTCTAAAGCAATTTTCCTGCACTGAAGTCATCTGCCTACGAGACTACATTGCGATAATATGTTAGGCGACAAAAGCGAGAAAGCGACTCCTGTATACTCAGGGCGTGATCCTGTAGCCGACGTTCCTCCTTCCTACTCTGAAGGAGTCCCGACTTCAAGTGATGGCCTCATCCCCGCCGGGACCCTCCTCCTCGCCGGAACAACCATTTTCAACACCGCCTCAGCGTCATCACCGCCATTATACGAACTCACTTACCCCATCGGACACCTGCGGGAGTCCAATACATCAGTTTCGTTCTACCGCTATGAGAACAGTGTACGGGACTCTCCTGGGGCATCCGGTCCTCAGGTAGCATCACGAAAGAAGCATATCTTCGACCTAAAGCGAGACCCTACAGTTACTGAGCCCCCCTTCCCATACCACTTGAACTCGGTCTCTCGCGGAAATGTTGGACATGTGGGCATCAGGACACACCGACGCTTAGGTGGATCGGGTTACCGCGCCTGGAGGGCGACGAGAGCGAGAGAAGGGGCGGATCTAGAAGGCAAGGAGATGCTCTTCAACATCAAGACGCGGGGCAGCGGACGGCAAGAATGGCGCGATGGGAGCGACAAGACGGTTCTGGCGCATGAGACGAGCGAGGAGGGGATCCACAAGCTACAGATCGTCGTCCCATTAACCCAAGATATTAGAGACGGGTTGGTCGCGACGTGGTGTTTACGACTTTGGTGGGAGATTGCCCTGTCCAAGGTCGAGCCTTTCAGCTGGAGCGAAGGTAAGTTGTTTAATCTGACTCCATCTGCTCAGTATGAAACATGTGCTAACTTGAATTCTTCTACGCTCAGTCAAGAATGTGTTGCAGTACAACTCGAAGAATCTCCCTTCCGGGGCGCGCTTGGGTCTTCTCCCTTAGTTCAGTCTGAATCAAGTATCTTTAAACCCATGGGAAACTCAAAAATATCCACCTTGCCTATGATAAACCAATATCAACCTCTACAATGCCCACAAACGATCGGCATGGCTCTCCTATCCGTGTAATGATGCGAACTATGCTTTCACCGACCGCCGTTTCTATCTGTCTGTGCAATTCTGTGCGATCTCTAAGTAGAAAGATTTATCAAAGAGACGCAAGGCGACTAGCCAGTGCATATAGAGAATTACAGCTTGTAGCTTATGCCCTATGATGAATTTAGAATACAGAATCCGAATCGAAAGTGGACAAACTCACGGTCTAGTGTAGCAGTACTGGGTGTCGACTGGCAAATTATATCCCCTTGGATCTCGGGCACCTTCTCTAATAAAGGTGATGATGGTTCCCACGCCAAAGTCATAGACAAATCTGGCAGCAGTGTCGCCCCATCTTCCTGCGGCATTCACCTCAAATGCGACTTGGGTGCCCGAGAGCCGAGCGACGTTATCGACAGTGACGCCCATGCCAGCCATCTCTGTGAACAAGGTAACTTGGTCATTGACCATGTTTACAAGTGCGCGAATGATGATATCTTGTGCAGTTGAGAGTGTGATGGTCCACATAACCTGGAGTGTGCCATGCATCGCTCGCTTGTCAAGGCCGTTGGCCTCGATTGAGGATTGCGGAATGGCAATGTCGCATCCCTTTACTTGAACGCCACTGTCAAAGTTAATCCGTTAGCATGTTATCTCATTGATCCATTGAAGAGCGAGAGTCTACATACGATCCATCTGGGCTGGAAACTTGTTGGAAGATGTTGCTTGTCTCAACACTGCATTGATCCTGTGGAGTTGCAGGCGCGGCGAGCGCAAGGCCGAAGAGTGGAATGTAGAAAAGAGCGGAAGCCTTCATGTTGGAGCTGGGTCTTTTTCCAAGCTTGAAGATCAAATAAAGAACGATAGTGATCAACTGCACCATTCAAGCCTCATGCGCAGGTTCATGGTATTATATGTGTCGACAGGCAAGGCAGCATGAAAACCCGCATTACAGAGGCTTAACAACGCACGTACCCAAATTTAATCAACTTCATAAAATTTGCTGGACCGGGCGTCTTGGACACGAAAACTCTGTCCACCAACTAGTCAGTAAGGAGCAATCTGTAGAGTTCATAGAAGCTAAATATTATATTAAAAAGCGAAGAAAATGAAATCTGGTACCCCGAAGAAGCAATTGCATGACATGGAAAGATTAATGATCATAGTCAAAGTTGAGGAAGTCCAGAACACGGGGCTGGTCAGAGTTTACTAGTCTTGTACTCGCTTTCCGAATAGCCGATGCAATTAACTCACGGGTCGGCCAGACCGTTGAACTAACCATCTCTCTAGCAATACGGGGGAAAAGTTCCCGTCGGGTTGCCACCGAGTCAATGTGTCTAAATACTTATACCGAGAGGGTATCCCCACGCTGTTCATGGTCATTACACTCGCTGACTTTATCCGACGATTGAATTTTTCTCTTTCTGACCCGAAGAGTACAATATACTTTTTGGTTCTTGATTCACTGTATCTTCTCTTGCCTTATTTTTATCAACGTATCAGACATCACAAGATGCGCTTCCAATTAGCTGTGGCAGCCATTGCGCTAATGTAGGATATCCTTCATTCTGCATACTTAGTAATATTACTGATAAGAAATAGCTCTGGCGCCGTAGCAGACTCCCACGACTACTGTGCTTGCCAGCAATGGTCCAACGGCCCCGTGGACCACGCCGCGACGGCGAAGGTTGCCGCGAAGCCCTGCTACGGCTACGTCTGGGGTAAGTGCTACTACATGTGTGTTGCTCGTTTAGATTTGATAGACTAACTGAATCAAGGTCCATCTGAGCATCTGGCGAGTTCTAAAACAGATTGGTTCGCACACAGCCCTGGGCCTCGTAAGGATGGACAATACGTAAGCCGTACCTTGAGGAAGGAAAATCGGTTGAACCAAGCTAACAGCACCAGCTTCAAAATATGATTAAGAAGTGGAAGATCGATGGAGACGACTTCAACAGACGGTGCCGTGATGCAGGAGCGAAGGATAGCACGTGCTTCTCGTGCTCGAGCCTTCAGGTGAATGGCGATGGAAGAGTGCAGTGCAACAGCGGTTAGATGAGCAAAAAGTGCGCAGGTGTAGGAAGAATTTGGGACAGTCATCACTTTAAGACTCTACAAAGTGTTTATTTGTTTTCGGTTTGATGTTCGGTCATTTGAGTAATGTACTTATTATCTCACTTTTCTGTCGCATGTGGTTATGAATCTGAGCTTCCCAGATCTGTCATTAACTCGCTGTTTGTTCACACCGTCCTTCTTGTCACTGGAGCGAGCGGCTTCATGCGACACTTTCTGAAGCAGAACTTTGGATTGGGTTCGTTCTTAATCTTGAGTACCACATCCAGATTATCATGCATTAGATATGTTACTACCTTAGTCACATGAAGTGTGGCCAAGTGTTGCATCGGGCGATCCCGATAAGTCGGGACTTCCGCTGGCATCTCCGGACCTCCCCCACATTCCCGCCGGCTGCCCGCCCTTCTATTCTCTCAAGCTCTACGGAGTACCCACGTCATGAGATACCGCATATCAACGCGACATCAATTCGTACGAATACTGTGATATTTGGTTAATTACGTATAGCATGAGCCAACTCACTATACACTTGATATCTACTTCCAAGCTCTCGCTGCGCCGTGCTGCTGCATCGACTAGCCACTACAAATACCCAGCTGTAGGGCCGCTCCTCGGCGACATCCGACTGCTTCATAGCCATAATCCGACCATGTCTTTGAAGCTTCCTATCGGAATATTGAGCGAGAGAGATAGGCTCGCGTGCTCTCTTGCCCTGAAAGGGTAGCTCATCCCCGAGGAAGAAGCAGCCACAATATCGAAGGCCTTCTTATCGCTGGGAATCTTGGCTCTCTTCTGCGATTCCGAGTTCAGCAACCAACAACCCACAGTGTTGCGCAAGCTCGGAGCAGCAGCTGGCCCAGCCTCGTCCGCCGGGATCGCAGCTGAACACACGCACGCGAGTTCTCGACAGGCGGAGCGGAGGTCAGCGCAATAACATTGACCTTCCGTCTTCGGCCTAGGTGTCTCCCCAACGTTATCAGAGAAAGTTCCTAAACGCGTCGTGGGATTGGACAGTGACTGGATTAACGTTATTTGTTGCTCCTCCGAACCCCACAGCCCAGCCCAGAAGTCCTTGTCCATCCCAAGCCGGCGGGGGTGAAGCGATGGTGGGAAAGATTTTGGGAATCGTCAAGTTTCTTTTCCAGGTAGTCACTCCACGCGACGAGACGCACGCTGCCTGAAGCTTGGATGGATGCAGAAGGACGGACGAACTGTCAGACAGTCAGAGTCAAGGGAGACGGGGGCCAAGCCGGCCTGGCACAACATGATGGTGAGTTTGCCATGGGTACAATTGCCACCCTAGACCTGGATCAAGGTCACGTCGTGTTACCGAGGGACTGTCTCGCTCTGCAGGCACTCTGGAGTGCATCAATTGGTCTCCATGATGAGCGTCTAGTTGCTCCGCAGATGTTCATCAGTTTGTTCTTTTCACACCGAACCAGTTGAGGCTCCTCGCCATGCGGTACCCATGCAAGCAAGTGATGACACGGGACCGGATGGAGAAGCAAAGCTCGATGAACTCTGCCCGGCACACCATTTGCCAACACAGGTTCGGCTGCATCCGTCACAGGTCAGACAAGCCCTTTCTTGGTCACCCTTTGTGGGAAGCCCAACGAGCTGAAGAGAGACCGTGATACGTAACTGACCGCACATTGGCCGCGAGTCGCATGGCATCGCCTGGAGGAACACTACGGAGTACACGACCTACCAATTCATGAACCCCGGTTCAGGCCCCCCAGACCCGTCCGTCCCTCCATGACAGAAGTCAAAGGGCCTCCGCCGGGCCAACGCGTGCTCCAGAAAAGGCAAAGGGACCGCTGATAAGCCAATCATCCAAACCACCACCACAACGTGTATCTCACCCCTCATCTGTCCGCGTCTCTTGGCAAATGCTACTTCATCACCGAAGAAGCTGTCTTTCCCGGCATCAACCACTTTGCCAATGTCTTGGCATGCGGCCAGAAGAACCTCCAACGGGGGTTCTTTGGTGTATTGTCGTGTCTATCCAGCCACTCAGCATTCAGAGAGAGATGCTTTCCGAGATGCAGGCCCCCCGTTCGAAGCTGTCGCGCTGCGTTGCCCGTGCCACCGCCGTCACAATTGATCGCATGTGGTTCTTGTTTGTTCCACTCTCCAATTGCTGCCCGCAAGCTCTGGGCAGAAGCAAAATTTGTATATATTCGCGCGGGTAGCTTCAGGAACCCGGAAAGAGAAGAATTGCGATCGTCAGTAGAAGAAAGTTTTCCTCCTCTTTCCCTCCAAGAACTCTGCGTGGCGCATACTCAACCGTGGCATCGTGAAGGCTTAATTGACTTCCCGCGCAACCTTGACATCAGACCGAGCTTGTTTGCGGCCTCTTGAGCTTCCTCTTTTGCCTCCCACCTTCCGGACTTCGCAATTCCCCTCACTCACGATGCGCCAGTCTCTCCCGACGCTGGCTCTGGCCATGGCCGGTGCCGCTTTTGCGGTTCCTGAGAAGGAAGACGGTGACCACCTTTACTCGTCTCGCCTCTCCAAGCGTGGCATCGACGCCGAGGGCAACTACAACATCTCCTTCTTCCACGTCAACGATGTGCACGCCCATCTCGACGAGTTCTCCTCCTCGGGCACCGACTGCACCCGTCCCGAGCGCGGCTGCTACGGAGGCTACGCGCGCATCAAGCATACCGTCGACGAGCTGCGCCCGCAGTACAACGACTCCCTCTGGCTCAACGTTGGTGATGAGTTCCAGGGCACTCTCTTCTACTCCTTCTACAAGGGCGAGAAGATTGCCGAGACCATCAATCAGCTCGGCTTCGATGCCATGACCCTTGGCAACCACGAGTTCGACGGCGGCGACGACCAGCTCGGTGACTTCTTGCTGAACCTCACGTTCCCCATTATCTCGGCCAACATTGTCTCCGACAACGAGAAGCTCAACAAGACTATCAAGCCCTACCATATCTTCGAGGATCAGGGCCTCGCCGTCATCGGTGTCACCACCACCACTACTCCGGGCATCTCCTCCCCCGGCGAGGGCACAAAATTCCTCGATGTCGTGAGCACTGTGCAGTCTACTATTGACCACATCAAGTCCACCACCAACATCACCCGCATTGCAGCCATCACCCACATTGGCTACGAGGAGGACCAGAAGCTCGCTGAGCAGACCACCGGTCTCTATCTCATCATGGGCGGCCACTCCCACACCCTCCTCGGCTCGATGGAAGACGCTGAGGGCCCCTACCCGACCGTGAAGCAGAACAAGGACGGCGACGACGTCTTCATAGTCACCGCCTACCGCTGGGGCGAGTATGTCGGCTACATCGACGTCACTTACGATGCCGAGGGCAAGATCCTCGCCTACCACGGCGGCCCTATCCACCTCACCAACACCACCGAGCAGGACGCCGCCCTCCAGGCCCAGATCGAGTCGTGGCGCGGACCCTTTGAGGCCTTTGCTGCCGAAGTCGTCGGCGTCTCCAACGTCGAGCTCGACCAGTCCCTCTGCCAGAAGCAGGAGTGCATTCTGGGCAACGTCATGACCGACGCCATGTACGAGTACCGCCTCAACTCCTCCGCCGACAGCCCGCCCGACTTTGCGCTCATCAACGCCGGTGGCATCCGCGCCACCATTGACGAGGGCAACATTACCCGCGGCGAGGTGCTCACCTCCTTCCCCTTTGGCAACTCCATTGTCGAGATCACCTACAAGGGCTCCGACCTGCGCAAGATCCTCGAGGGTGCAGTCACAAAGGTCAACCAGTTCAACCAGGAGGCCATCACCTCCTTCTTCCAGGTCTCTAAGAACATCATCATCGAATACAACCCGGCCGGCAACAACGGCTCCAAGCTCGTCTCTGTCGAGGTCGGCGGCGAGGCCCTTGATGACGCCAAGGACTACAAGGTCGTCACGCTCGACTTCTTGGCCGGTGGCGGTGACAACATCTTTGTCGCTACCACTGACTTCGTGACCCTTGATACCCAGGACGAGGTCCTCGTTCAGTATGTTGAGGCCAAGAGCCCCGTCGAGGCCAAGATCGAGGGCCGTATTGTCGCAACCAACGGCACCGCGTCCACTCCTTCCGGCACTGCCACCGGTACCGGTGCCACCCCGACTTCTACCTCTGGCTCTAGCGGCGCTAGCATGGTTTCCGTCAGCATTGGCGCCGTGGGTCTCTCCCTGTTGGCCCTGCTGGCGATGTAAAGCTGGGATTCGACAAATGTGTAATGTTGTAATGATGCGGATGATGTAGATGTATGAGTAAAAATAATCAAAAGTTCTCCGCCTACTAATCTTTGCCATGCATTCATGATTGTGTGAATCTTGCTACATTATTGCCAAGGGCAAGCTCCTCCAATCATAAGACTGGGTTCTTTTGTCTAATCTCTTATGAGGTACTATGAGGGATGAGATATCTTCCAGACCGTGTGTCCTCGACACGTACATGTATTGATGTATCTTGAGTTACAGTCATAATCTCCATTGTCTTATCAAGTTGTCACAGTGGCAGGTAGGTATTACGGAGTGACAGTCGGGCTCGTAGGTAGGCAAGGCTACTTGGGTCCAAAGTTCAGTCCAGCCTGGCTGTTAGATCCCGACTCTTGGTACGTCACTTTCTACCTCGTCAAGGGCCGATGGGCCGTTAGACGACGAAACGATCTCTCAGCTCTAAATTTTATTTCAAACTGTCGTCCAGTTTGGCGGATCTTGATGCTAACGACACACATAAGTAGCCTGGAGTAATATTACAAAGTTGACATCTCAAAACAGTGGTCCCGTCTCATGATCGCAAGTGACTCGACTCCACAGATGGTACAGCTAGTCCTATTCCATGATATAGTCCTGTCTGTGATGGTGTACGTGTCGAACGATGACCGCATCCTTTGAATGAGCCTTTCTCCCTGCTTGCCTCAACAAGTCGAGCAATTCTTCATTCGGCTGCCACTGATCCATATTCAAAGGCCATCTTGGGCTGTCCGGACAGGAGTTCTTTGTCCCTTCACGCTTCTGATTCTCAGTTTTGATTCTAAGTAGCAAACGAGCCTTCTCTAAGTCGCCGGCCTGGAGTGCCCTAAACTCCGGTATCCAGTCCTTAGAATAGCATTTGCACCGCGGGAACCTTTCGTCGTCCACGTCTGGCATCACCCCAGGAGCGAGATAATCAACGTGGAAGCGATGGAACCATTCGGAGCCCTGGTATGTATCGTACTTAGCCAAGATGACTTTGAACCAGAGTTCCTTGAGGGAGATCATCTGGCCCGCTGCCTTGGCAATGGATGTGAGCATTGGCACCATGACCTTCTCGTTGACGGTCCAGGCGGCTACGTTGTCGTCGCCGCTGACGCTATACTGCCTGTCTGGGGGGTTATCCTCTAAGTAGGACCGTTCGATGTTTCTGCGTTTGACGAGTTCCGAAACATCAGCTTCCCACACCGGCTCCTCAGCATCTCCTTCTCAGATTGCGCCTGGCACTATTCTGCCGGTACTGCTCAGAAACTCGACAATGCGCGTGTTATAGTGCTTCAGGTACCACTCTCCGCTGGGCAAAACCATGGTCGCAATCAACCTTGAGCTTGGTCATGTTCTGCCAATACGGGACTGCATCGCCCAGACTAGGGGGTGGCGACCAGAAGAAAGAAGAGCTGAGATGGCTCCCGTACTCAAATTCTGAAAAGCCATCAATTGCTCGGCGCAGGCCTACGAATAGAGGATCGCTCTCTCCGTCTTTGGACATCTGCGGTAGCTGCTGGAAGGGACCGTATTTGTTGGGTAGGATGATAAGCTTTCCGTGCCTCGCCAATGTCGGGGACTGATATGATGACAGGGTGTTGATCAAAGACTTTCGCATTTCTCGTCAAGGTTCCATAAAGAAGGGAAACTCCGAAGCATCGAGGCGAAAGACTCCAAGTTAGGAAACTTTTGCATAAGGAGGAAGTCGCCCTCGACATTCCGTCTCAGAGACGAGAGTTGGTAGAAGAACGAGAACTTCAAGCTACGGACGCATAGCACGATCGGAAGGAGTTGAGGATTCACCACATTGAAATGGTGAAGCTCGGTGATTCTCGATTTTCTGTAGTGTTTATCATTGAGACCGATGGACAATGATACTCGCGTGTCGTCTGGCCATTCGGACAGGATTAGCATCAACTCTCTCAGGATCTCCGTGTGGGCAATATCGCAGTGTGCCATGTTCTCGACGATATCCGAGGGCCCTGAGCTGTGCCGGTATTCGGGTGTCACAATGTTCACATGCAGCTCGCGTAGTGAAGTCTGGCGGTTGCAGCACCGTTTGAAGGCATCTCAGATGAATTCGAAGTCGTCACTTGTGATTACGAGTGAGCGAAAGATTGCCCGTTCGATGCCCAGCTAAAATTTGCGGCAGACGGCCGCAGGATCAAGTCGAAGACGCGGTGTCTTAGGGTCGAATGCTTCCGAGTCAACATACATCCAGTTTTCGAGCTCCAGGAGTTTTTCATTATAGTTGTTGCTCTCTCGCGCAGGTATGCGACCGAGGATGTTATCCAATATTTCTTGGGGCAGAGAGTCCATTTCGTGCGCGCCCTTGCTATCCGGTTGGATTTGGGCTCAACTGTTGCCTTCAACGTTGTGAGGTAGCGTAGTGGTGTTGGTATCCGTACCCACAGGCTGACCGGTTCGATTCGTGGATTCGAAGGGTGACGGAAGATCAACTGAATAGATATCGAGATTTCTGCGGGATTGAGAAAGGGGTAATTTATTGGTACGCAGTTGGAGATTGATAAAGTGATCGTCCCTGGCCCCTACAGCTACCCTGACTCGAGGTCGACTCGACAAGTTGATAAACATGCTTTAATGATCCAACACGTCTACAGACTTGGTGATCAATACCTATAAATGCCCACTGTCTGGCATGCTCTGGTGTCTTTCGGAACGAGCAGTGTCATGCTAGTCAAGTCTCCAATTTCTCGGTTGCTCGAACGTGAAATCTTGAGATGCAATGGATAGTCACGCAAACTCTTAGCGGGAGGCAGTGCAGCCGGAGTGGAAAAACGAGCTCCTAGAGGAGTACCAGCCATATCCTAGATCATTCGAAATAGAATCTCGGGACCTAGATTTCCAGGATCCGAACACTACCATTTCGTTGTTATTCAATTCTCCATAACAGAAATTGCCTCAACCCAAAGAGCCAACTGCGCCGATGTGTCTACATCATCTTGCTTCTAGGCCGACTCGCTCTCCAAAGCTGTTGGTAGGTGTTGCAACGCTGTGGGCGGATGGTCAGCGCACTCTGAACTCTTCATCAAGTTGCTCATTCTGTGCTTCGAGATTTCTTCGGCTGGTAATTGGCGTCAGTGATAGACTTTCTCAAACTAGCCAATGACTAGTGCGTGTTATTTTGCCGAAAATCCTCCCATATCCGCCCTTTGTCAATGTCGAAAGAGGCAAAGTTGAAGATAGGCATGGAACGCACGTAGTGATGTAATAGTGCATGAAACTTGGTTACGATCGTATTCTTCTCCAAAACTAAGAGCAGTTTGAGCAATTACCATGCGGAATCTAGGTTGGATCAAATAAGTCATTGATCCTTTCCGTAAGGAAACGCCGTGTATGTTTCAAAGCCGAGAGAATAAAACAACCCGAACGGTTAAACACTTTGGCGAAAGCGTCTGAACTGCACTGTAGATGAACCTTGCCAGATGCAACCAATCAGTGGCCGCGTCGGTAGCCGGGAAGCGATTTCATTGATTCGGAAGACCGAAATCAGCCGCTGACGCTGGCGGCTGTCAAAGGATCAACGCCAAGCCGGTTGGCTTGCTGCTGGGCAGCGGCGATAGACGACGCCCTCGGAGCTCGCTGCCGAGAGCGAGGGATACCCGTGTCGTTTTTGCAGCCGCACACGTACCGAGGGACCACGACCACGGCCGCGGCACCCAGCTATCAAAGTGTCAAAAGAGTGACGGGGCCATGGACGGCGTGCAAGATTACCGACTGTCCGGCTCACCGAGCGGCTGGCTTGATCACGGTTATAATTTGATCGTGGTTCGAAACCTAGCGGTTGAGACTTTGTTGTTGCGGGGTATGGGGCCGTGGTTGAGGTTGTGGGGAGAGAGTTGTGAATACCATCAACGGGCCAACGGCGACTACGTCTGATTCGCACGCATAGGGTTAGGCACACCGTTTTCTGAAGGCTCCCAGAGATTGTGAGCAGCGGTGGGCCGGCTAGTAAAAGTTCGGCTAAAGATTTAAATCACCAAGTCACATGCTATGAGGTGAGTCGAAAGTTCTCTGGGGTGAATGGTGGGTATGGGCTACCCTCGTGATACTGATGCCTTTCAAAGAATCAAGGTTTGACTCCCCGCGGCACCCGTGGGGAACTGATAGCCGTCATTTCTTCCATTTGTCCATCATATTCTGGAGTCTGGAGTTCAGCGGGCCTTTCTGGGGGAGAAGAGCGAACCCAAGCTTAAAGCGGTCTACTCGTCCGGTCTCCAGTGTTCTCAACTTGACATGCCAATCGACATGGCATGTCCAGGAGGGGGCGATTAGTTTTCGTCTGATTCCTCGAGAACATCACTGGCTGAACCCTGCCCAAAAGCAATTCTTTGTCTCCACACTGCCCCTTGAATACGGGCCGACCAGAACGAACTTTTTCTAAGCCCAGGTTAGGAAAGACGCCCAACCACGTCGACAAACGTCATAGGCTAAGTTGAGTGGGAATCAAACGGGGTCGAGCGGGTGAGTACGGAGTACGAATATTCGTACCCGCGTCAAAGTTTCCTGGGGAAATCGGGGCCGCTTTCTGCAACGGCCTTTGGCTAAAGTAAGATGTTACTCTCTCTACACGACCGGATACCGGATGGAAGAATGAAATGTCATTGTCAGGCCACGCGAATCTACCGGTACAGATATGCAAACGCTGGCTGCTGAAGCGAGCGCATCGGCGCATGAAACGGCATCGGGCCTTTGACTAGCGCCCGAAGCCATCCGAAGCCCGTCTGAAGTGCAACCAGTTGCAATTTGTACAATGCGGCTTCAAGTTGCCTCAAGCAAGGGGGTGAGCCAGGATAACACAGCTAGGCAAGGTTTGGTTTAGTCTTGGACCAGGACACAACTGGGTCTCTCCAACTTTTCTCCAAACTTCTCCTCTCCATCCATTCTCCTCCTCCTCTTCATCCACATCATCTTGCTCATCCACTTCATCCACCTCCTAGGCTCTTCCAGTCCAACACCATGCCCATACTGTCCAACAACTCCGTCACCTCGGCTGGCCTTTGGAGAACTGGACCTCGAGACTCCCCGCTCCCCGCACGATCCCCCCGCACGAAGAGTCACTAGAGTTCTCCCACCTATCACCAGTCTCCTTGTCCCCCAGACACCCCAGACGCCCTCAGGGACATGGTCAGGACACGATGCTTACTCCAAAGCTCCGCAGAGCCCCGTCCTACCCGTATTCTTACGCGCACCAATGACAGCATGAGATTTCGCATTTTCTAGTCTCTCGTCAAGCCCATCTCGTCAGGAGCAGGAAGCCTTTGAAGGCCGCTCCCGTCCCCGGCGTTGGGGGCAGGTGGATGGTATAAGACCGGATGCTCCCGAGTCCCCCTTTCCTAGAAAGAAATCTTGGCCACCAGGGCGACTCCAAATTTCTCTTGGCTTTTTTGCTTGTTGTCTCTTGGCCGTTGCTTGTTCTCTCTTGGCTTTTGCTAGTTGCAATTTGCTGTTGGCCAAAAATCCTCCAATTTTGCAGCCACCACCGACCACGACCACCCTCGGAACTCTCACACAAATTCAGCCCAAGATGTCGACAGGCCTCGCCCAGGACGGGCACGACGCCTCCAGCAGGGATGACAACGTCTTTGTCGACGAAAAGGTCGGCGATGCCCACCACATTGACGCGGCAGGCAACAAGACGCTGGCCGACGCGGACCTCATGAACGATGCCTTTGACGGCGAGAACGAAGAGCACAACCAGGGCCTGTGGCAGGCCGTCAAGACGCACCCCAAGGCTTGTTTCTGGGCCTTTATCATGTGCTTCACCATTGTAAGTTTCTCTCTATTGTTCGTGTTTGGGTATCGACCCCATCGACCCCTGCGTCTGTTGGCGGCTTTTCGGGCCGCCATTCCGTCTTCAAGCTCGCGAGTCAGTTACTAATTGGGGGTACTTGTTCAATAGGTCATGGAATCTTTCGACATGTTCTTGAACGGCAACTTTGTTGCCCAGAAGGCCTTCCAGGATAGATATGGTGTTGAAGTTGCTGGTGGGGGCAAGGCCATCGAGACAAAGTGGCAGTCCGCCCTCTTCCAGGCCGGCCAGTGCGGTGCCTTTGTCGGTGTCTTCCTCGCCGGCCCCGTTGTCAACAAGCTCGGATATCGCCTGGCCACCATGGTTGCCTTGATCATGATGAACGCCACCATTTTCATCTCCTTCTTTGTAGGCAATCCCGATCGCAGTGTTGCGCATCAGAATATGTACTGACCCTAATTTTAGGCCAACTCGCTTGAAGTCCTCACCATCGGACAGGCATTCGAGGGTATTCCCTGGGGTTTCTTCATCGCCATCGGCCCCGCTTACGCCTCTGAGATTGTCCCCCTCGCCCTGCGTGGTGCCTGCACGGCCACTCTGCAGATGTCTTGGTCCATCGGTTCCATCATCGTCGCCGGCGCAACTCTTGGCTTCAACAGCCGTACCGACGAGTGGGCGTGGCGCGCGCCCCTTGCTCTCCAGTGGATCTTCCCCGTGAGTTCACTCACCACCCGTGTACTTCGCATGACCATAGACTGACCCGATCTCCAGCTTCCCCTCATGGTAATCCTCTGGTTTGCTCCTGAGTCCCCTTGGTGGCTCATCCGCCGCGGCCGCAAGGAGGAAGCCCTCCGCTCTGTCCAGCGTCTCGGCCCCACCCACGGCACCGCCGGCCAAGCTCAGCGCAAGCTCGCCATGATCGAGCGTACCGTCCAGATCGAGGCCAACATCGGTGGAACCCCGACTCTCCTCGACCTCTTCAAGGGCGTCGATCTCCGCCGTACAACAATTACCTGCCTGATGTACGCCTCACAGAACTTCGCCGGTAACCTCATCGCCAACCAGGCTACCTTCTTCTTCGAGCAAGCCGGCATGGCCCACGACATGGCCTTCAACCTCAATCTCATCAACTCTTGCCTCCAGTTCGTCGCAAACGCTCTGTCCTGGCCCTTGACCGCCTGGTTCGGCCGCCGCACAATCTACCTTTGGGGTACGGCCGTGAACATCACCTTCCTCATGCTCCTGGGCGTCTGCGCCTCGATCCCCCAGAACAGCGCCACCAACTATGCCCAAGCCGTCCTGGGAATATTGATCTCCTTCGTCTTCGCTGGTACTCTCGGCCCCATCTCCTATACCATCATCGCCGAGACCTCTGCCGTCCGTCTTCGTGCCCTCAGCACCGCCGTCGGTCGCGCCGCGTACTACGTCGCCGAGATCCCCATGATCTACCTCGCCTCACAGCTCCTCAACCCCACGGGATGGAACGTTGCTGGAAAGTGCGGTTTCGTTTGGGGCGGTACCGCTTGTGTGTGCTGGATCATGGCCT